CCCTTTGGATCACTGTCTTTGTATTCTTTGGGTAAATAATTAGTGGTTCAATTGCTAGCTCATAGGGTAGCTCTATTTTTAATTTCTTCAGAAATCTCCATACTGTTTTCTAAAGTGGCCGCACCACTTTGCATTCCCACCAACAGCGTAAGAAGGTTCCCTTTTCTCTGTATCCTCGCCAACATCTCTTGTTTCCTGGATTGTTCATTTGAGCCATTCTGACCATGGAGGTGGTATCTCATTGTTTTGATTTGCCCAGTGATGTCGAGCATTTTCGCCTGTGTCTGTTGTCCATTTTTAAGTCTTCTTGGGAAATGCTTGTTTGCATCTTCTGCCCATTTCTTGACTGGGTTGATTGTTTTTTGGGTGTTGAGTTTGATGAGTTCTTTATAGATGTTAGATACCAGTCTCTTATCTGAAATGTCTTTTGCAAATATCTTCTCCCATCTCATGAGTTGCCTCTTAGTTTTGTTGAGTGTTTTCCTCCTGTGCAGAAGCTTTTTATATTAAGTCCCAAAATTCATTCTCATTTTTGTTTCCCTTGCCTTTGGAGCATGTCTAGCAAGAAGTTGCTGTGGGTGAGGTCACACAGGTTGCTGCCTGTGTTTTCCTCTAGGATTTTGATGGATTCCTGTCTCACATTGAGGTCTTTCATCCCTTTTGAGTTTATCGTTTTGTATGGTGTAAGACTCTAAATACCCAGAATATGCTTGGTAAATCACCAGAAAATAATTATAGCTCAAATTGGTCATTGGAAAAGTTGTTACTCACAGTGGATTATGTGCATTTTAGATAGGCAGAGTGTGCTAGATGAGCAGTCTTAAACTTCTCTCAGTATTTGTATTTGGCCAGTGGAAAGGTTTTGAAAACATTCCTACCGTTTGTAAAATGTTTTACCTTGGAATCAGCAGTTAAGTAAGTTTTTAAACTTTCAAGAAGTGGTGTGCTTACTGTCCAAGTGCCAAATAGTAAATTGCTAATAATGTTAGTAAACTGAAGAAATTTTATGGGGGCAGGGGGATTCCTCCTAATCGTTTCCCTGATTTATTGGTGAATCTGTGTCTGACTTACACCCTTACCATCATAATATGGATATTTGAACATAAAATTTATGTAGAATTTACAGATTGGATTAATTTTCTCCTTCTGGTACTTTTTTTCCCTTTTATTGGCCTTCAGGAAAAGAAGTGTTATTATTGATGCACGCCTTAAACACTCTTTCAACTCCAGAGGAGAAGCTGGCAGCTCTCTGTAAGAAATATGCTGATCTTGTAAGTATTAAGGGTGCAAAACTTAATGTAAAATATAGCAAAATGTGTGTGTGTGTGCTTGATACATTTTTAAAATAGAATTTTGGTATGGCTTTAAAAGTAAAGTTGTATTTCAGTACAAAATTGAAGGGAAGAGTCTAATTTCTTGAGGCTTAGGTTGATTGTATGGGCCCATTTAATGGTATGACATATACAACATTTTATTGCTTTCTGAATTCTAGAATAGATTTTGTAAAACTCAGTTTCAGCATTTGTTTTTAAAGATCTTATTAATTTATTTGAGAAAGAGAGCAAGCGAACATGGGGGTGAGGAGGGAAGTAAGGGAGAGGGAGCCTGCAGAGAGGCTGGATCCCAGGACCCTGGGATCATGACTTGAGCTGAAGGCAGATGCTTACCTGACTGAGCCACCAAGGAGCCCTAGTTTTAGCATTTCTAAGTTTGCATTTTCATTGTATGTTTACATGCCTGACATTGTGAGGGAATAATTTCATATGTAAATTGAGGGATTTTAGACATGAAAGCAGATTAAATTTGAAACTTTAAGGAATTTGACTGATGTTGTGAATTAGATGAAGTAGTCTAGTAGTTTCTTACGAAAATATTTCCTTAGCACCCACTCTGTGGCAGGCATCATATTTTTTCCCCCATCTTCCAAAGAAATTGACTCATAGAAAAGAATTTGTTCTGAGAATGGCCTATGTTATTTCAAGTAACATTAATTCTTTTTTGGGGTATGTGGAAGCACTCTTCAACATGGAAACCCTGCGTTAATTTTAAAAGTGAAGAATAGGGGCGCCTGGGTGGCTCAGTGGGTTAAAGCCTCTGCCTTCGGCTCGGGTCATGATCCCAGGGTCCTGGGATCGAGCCCCGCATCGGGCTCTCTGCTCAGCGGGGAGCTTGCTTTCCTCTCTCTCTCTCTCTGCTGCCTCTCTGCCTACTTGTGATCTCTGTCTGTAAAATAAATAAGGTCTTAAAAAAAAAAAGTGAAGAATAGGAAAGTCATAAGATCTTTTGAAAAATAGTGGGATTTTTTTTTTAAGAGTTATTGGTTCTAATGTAAATGCCAAAATTCTTGTGTTTTGTGAAATATTTATGTAAATTATTTTTAGTGAATTTTATGCATTCACACGTGTTATTAAAGCAATGACTTTATATCATACTCTATATCATAGATATTTCATAGTATCAAAACATACTATGGTTCGTGAATAATGGACTCTTAAGTATAGAACTGAAACAATTATAGTTACTATTCCTTCAGGTAGTATACATATACCCCAGTGGCATCTTCTAAAATTGTGAGAGGTGGGAACCACTGAGCATCAATGAAAAGGCCTAGAAATTGTCCAGATGCAAAGATGTCAGTAATCAGAGTGTTGGATTGCTGGCCTCAGGAAAGGAAAAGTTTGCTTCCACTGGGCAGGGAAGTCAGTCTGTAATGATACACTCACATGATGAAAATCAAATAAGAAGTGGTTAAAAAAAAAAGATGGAGAAAGGAGTGAAATTCGCATAGAAAAGTGACAGAAAGATGAAAGGTTGGGTAGTTAGCCTGGTGTTATGATATCAGCAGGCAGCATGAAAGGATTAGGCAGGAAAGAGCAAATTGACTAGCATAGTGGGCTAGGGCATCCTCAAACTCATACAAATCACCAGAGAATTTTGATTGTAGATTCTGATTCAGTAGATGTAAAATTCACTTTATAGTGGATTTGAGGCAGGGGTGGGGGGCATGGCTAAAGTACCATATTCTATCAAGTTCCTAGGTAATGACCAAAGCTGTTGGCTCAGGGACTAGACTTAGAGAAACCGAAATCAAGTGGGCTTTTACTTAGGAGGAGGACATCGGTAAAAATTACAGCATTTGTTTTAGCAAGTGACACATTAGAGACTTATGCTAGTGAGTAACCTTTCATCCCATTCATATCAGTAGTTCTTATGAGTAATAAAACAGGCATATTTTGTTTTGGAAAAAAAAAGTTCTAATACTTTGTTTCTTGAAAAACTAATTTCCTAAAAAAAGTAGAGTAGTAGACTTAAGATACGTAACAGTGAGACTACTTTGAGAGTATAATGCCACTATCAAAAAAGCTAAGGGCCACATCAGTGGACAGGAGAGACTAAGACACAAATCCTGTCTCTGACATGGCTGTCAACAATCTTGAGGGAACTCACAAATCCAGACCTTCTCTGTGATGAACAGAGGGTCGTAGTTCACATCACACATCCCAGCTTTTAAGATCTGCCACTGAGAGACAGACCCCCACAATAATCTGGCTTTGAATACTGGTAGGATTTCTATTGGCAAGACTCAAAGGGCAGTATAAACTGAGGTACTGCTATGTAAGGGCTTGTGCCTACATTCACTTGACCTGAGGCCCAACACAGAAGCCACTGTTTGAAAAGCACCTGGACTTAATGTGAAAGACGCTCATTTGATTATTTTAGTCTGGACCTGAGGGACAGGGGCATGTTGGAATGCTCTTCAGGGACTGCGGTGATAGCGGGTACCATTTTTGTATCCTTCCCCTATCCTTAAAGCCCATGAGTGCCTTTTTTTCACTTAACTCTGGACTTTTTGTTTCCCCTTTAGTGGATGCCATCTTTGCATTCTCCATGTGTGCTGCTACAATCAGTGGGAACCATTCTTTTATTTCTTTTTCCTTGGTGTGTAGCATCTTTGACCTCTCCCTCTGCCATGTTCCACAATTCCCAGGGGGAAGCTTCTACACAAGTCTGGTGACCCAGCTTTTGTGGCTGCCTCCCAGGGGACAACCCTTTGCTGTCTGGCTCTTCAGGCTGAGGAAATTGATCTGATGGATCCCACAGGGCTGTAACAAGCAGAGACAATTCTTCACTGACTACCATCCCCAGGGCAGACTAAAACATATCTTCAGTCTTTCTGAGAAACTTTATCATCACAGCTGCAATCTGAGGGTCAGTCTTCTAATAGACATGCCTATATAGGCAGAATGTAAACACTTCTAAAGACCTTGAAAGATATGTCTTGTTTTTGAGATCTCCGTCTCCCACTCCAGAGCACCAGTCTCTCTCAGAGAGGAGCTCTTACATGTGTCTGTTGCCTACAGAACATCTCTTGAATGCCTTGTCCAGTGGCCAGAGAGTCTTGTGTTCCTGGGTCCCATAGGGCTGTAACAATCAGAGAGATAGTCCTTGGCTAGGACAGAAACACAGCAGCAAGTCTTGCAAAAAATGTCCATTTGCTTGTCCTGAAACATTGGCTCAAGGGGCAGGCTTCAGGTTTCTAGGGGTCTATGTAGTTTCTCTCTTAGAGGCCAGAGTATGCCATCATTGTTCTCTTCTACTGCCTCACTGTAGCTCACAGTATCTCTCAGAAAGGAGCTTGTTCGCTCATCTGGAGTCTTGATTTTTATGACTTTCACCCGGGAGCACCTCCAGATCTCCTGTTCGGGCAGGCAGCCTGCCTTATGCTTCTGGTCCTACAGAACTCCATATATTTGCATATTTTAAGATGTGTTATTGGGGCCTGGCTTCCAGTCAGCACAAACCTTAGTGATCTCTGAGATCTGTGTACTTTGGGACACTGGCAGGTCTTGGTGAACTGAACACACTGTGACTTTATGAAGGGACAAGTAGGCCATTGGACAATCAGGAAGGTCTGACAGACAACCAAGTTGTAGGGCATTGCTGAATTCTGCTGTTCATGCTACACAAAACATTCCTTCAAGACTGGGAGGGGTGGCCACTTCATCTGCTGCATAGACACTATGACAGAGAGTCAAGAAAAATGAAACAGAGGAATATGTTCCAAAGGAAAGAGCAAGATAAGAAACCATAATGAAACAGAATAAGCAGTTTATCTGATAAAGAGTTCAAAGTGATGATTGTCAGGAAGATGCTCACTGAACCTGGAAAATGAATGGTTGAAAACAGTGAGAACCTCAACAAAGAGATAGAAAATATAAGAAAGAGCCAAAGAGAAAAAGAATACAATAACTAAACTGAAAAATACACTACAGGGGTTTAACAGCAGACTAGGTGAGATAGAAGAGTCAGTGAACTCTGCAGCAAGAACAGTGATCTCACACAATCAGAGCAGCAAAAAGAAAAATAAGAAAAAAAATAAAAAAAAAAAAAAAGGTGAAGATAGCTGGGGGGAATTAGGGGACAACATGAAGGGGATTAACATTTGCGTTATAAGGCTCCGAGTTGGAGAGCAAAGAAGGAGGAAGAAAATTTATTTAGAAAAGGATAGGTGCAAACTTCCTAAGCTGGAGAAGGAAACAGACCTTGAGATCCAGGAAGCACAGTTCCAAAGAAGATGCACCCAAAGACATCCACACCAAGACATGTTGTACTTAAAATGTTAAAAGCTAAAGACTGGGATTATTAAAAGCAGCAAGAGAAAACAAACAAAAAAACCAAAAACCTTATATATATAGGTACCCTATCAGACCATCAGCAGCTTTTTAAGAAGAAACTTTGCAAGCCAGAAGGGAGTATATATATATATAACGATATATTATTCAAAGTTCTGAAAGGAAAACAAACAAACGAAAACAAAACTTTAACTAACCAAGAACACCTACCTGGCTAAAGATGTTATTCAGAATTGAAGGAAAAGTAAAGAATCCTCCAGATAGGCAAAGGCTTAAAGGAGTTTATCATGACTAAACTAGCTTTATGTGAAATGTTAAAGGGACTTCTTCAAGCTGAAAAGAAAGTGGGAAGTTCACAGATGTATGGAGGTTAAATAATGTGCTAAATTGTCGATCATTAAAGGAATTAAATTTAATTAATTGGAGGACTTTTTTTTTAAATGTTGAGACAAATAATGATGGGAATACGTCATACCTATTGGTTGCAAGAGCAGTTCTCAGAGGGAGGTTCATAGCAATTTGTGCCTTCCTCAGAAAATGTGAAATCTCAAACAACCTAAATTTACATTTCAGTGTACTAGAAAAAGACCAAAGCCCCAAGTTAATAGTAGGAAGGAATACATAAAGATAATAATAAA